GCCAGCGAGCGCGGTTTCACACATTACTTGACTGCAGAGATATAGTAACCATGATGCTCTCGACTTTCAGTGGCAGTTGCAGTTTAACGAGCAACATCCGATAAATGGTTCAAAACTAGCCACTTATGGCAATGGACGCTACGTGTTCCTACTAGGAAATAAAAGAGTGGGTGCTATGTCCTGTTTTTCCGAATGCAAGCAGAAATTTACGATCGATTGCCGTTTTTTGTGCTACCTGTTATAGGAAAGAATTCACTCTAATTGCTTATTCGACGCTAACCACAAAACAGCATTCATGCTCCGCGACGCTTTTGAGCGAATGGGTCGGAACTTTGTAGAGTCATAAAGAGGCTTGATTACGCATGATTTTCTACGACTAGTTTCCCATCGTTCGTGTTCCTGGCGGAACTACATGGGAAGACGTGGGTTTCGGCGACCTACCAAGACCCCCAATCGATCGCCCTACATCTGGCGAGCATCCGTTCATTGGCGCTAAGCCGAGTATGAACGTGGTATGAACGCTATTTTTCTTTCCAGACGGATCTTGACGGTCAAATACATTATACACAATTCGACTTGGAATGTATCGACTTATTTCTGAGTGTGAAAACGCGTTATCTAATAAAAGGACTTCAGGTTCGCTGTTAGTGAATGAATAATACAAGTGGATTCAATGCAAATACAACTTCCCTTTAGAAATTAAACTTGACTGAAAGCTGTCCAATTTCCGCACTCTTCTTCCTCTTTCACGCTTCATAAGAGATGAGAAGCTGTAGTGACTGGGAACACAGAGTATCGCTTAGTTGGTGGGATCAAATCCTGCTCAGGTTCAATCAAACCCTCAATCTCATCGGAGTTTCTTGACGATTGAGCAAATTCAAGGCGGACGTTGAACTCGAATGGTTCCTATGACAGAAAAGGCAAAGGAGGGTAAAGCAATAGTTCCGTTTTTTTGCGGAAAAACCTAGCAGCCGCTATCATTTGTGGCAAGGAACCGATAGTCGCCTATGACTCTGTGAATGCGCCCTCATTCCACCAGCTCCTTATTTTACAAATCCCACCATAAATTCATATTTTTATCAGTCCCCATTCAAGAATTGTTTTGCTCCTAACTATGCTATCAAAAACTAGGCTTAATGCCTCAGTCCTATTGCCCTCACTTTACTAATCCAATACTTTTTATGAATTTCAGGATATTGGTTATGTACTCGGTTTCTATGCACTTTCACCCACAATTTTAGTCTTGGTGGATTATTCGGATTTGATTATTAATATTAAACAGACCGCTGTGCTCGTAAGTCCAATTCGAATGAATTGATGAATTCATCTGAAAATGAGACTTTTCGCTACTTGGTTACGGTTGAGTCTTTACCACCCAGTACACACCTGTAGAGACCCTACTTCTACCAAGAGTGGTCGAAGGGTCTTGCCGTTTGGATTTTGAAGTTATGTTCGTGACTCTGAAGACATGTATGAGACAGTAACCCAGTCGGCCAACCATCCAATCCGTTGACCTTTCCCTGATTGAGGATATACTGACTGGTCTCTAGGATCCTCCTGATGCGGTCCACCTAGGTTCCCATTGTGAATAATGTCTTAAAGCTACAAAACAAGCAGTTTACGTTCACATTCCAACCGCCTGAGACTCTCGAGGGTCATAACATGAGCGCTTTGGTTATTTTCAGCTTGACAAAGACTTCTATACTGGCTCATACTTCATCGAACGCACTTACTGTGTGCCGTTAACGGCGGCGTTCTTCTTCATCCACTGCGTCATCGGTGAACAGCAGTGCGCCATATTTGCTCCACCAAATACTGGTAGACCATTAAATGGTTCGTGCATGTACTATCAAACCAGGTACTCCTGAACGACGTTCGGATCGTCTTAGGAGGAGAGTCAACATTCTGCTGCCACCTTATCCCGAAGCAACCATGGTCAGCTGGTTCGGATCGCAATATCTCGATGTTTGTGCAACGAGTAAGCAATCATTTGCAGTTTGCACCCAAAGAAAGCACAAGTCCCACAGACGCAATAAGAATGAAACCGTAGGCAGCCTAATAATACTTCGAAGCAGGTGGTATAAGGTGTTTTCGCCGCCTTCCGACTCCTCCAAGGTCAGATGTATGGGAATACCAAAGCACTCTTTTAGGCATTCAGTCCTGCTGCCCTTCAAAAGCTTGAAGTACCGCCTGTAGAACTCGTCCAAAGCTACAGTTTTATGGCGCTCCAATTTTTGAAGCGGAAATGTTCAAAAAGGAAAATTTATCAGCACAGATATGCCACAGTTTCTACCACTTTCTTAATTCTAGAAGCACCTACATTAGTAGAAGGCCTGTATACCGGCATGTGGTATTAACTGATGCTTGATACACAAAATGACCTAGAATGGATAACCGTTGTGCAACCAACCTACGCCCCCATCGGCTCGCGGAGTCTCCGTCCAAATTCCAACGGCCGCGCGCATGCACGCGGCAAATTTTTGATAGTGGTCTCATAGAACATCAAACTGCAATGACCATATCCAGCATTTCGCAATCATTCAAATCCGGTCAGTATATTGTCCGCTCTAATCATCCTTCGCAATTCTGTGGACGCGGCGGGGCAACGAGTACGGTATGCAGTTCGGGAACTATTCCGTACCACGCGTTTCCTATCACAATGAACCTCGTTCCCTACCAGCTCCATCCCTATGACCTTTCACCTTTAATAAAAATACAATTTAAGGCAAATGCACAAGTGCTCTCGAGACATGGAGTGCCTCTAACACGGTGGGAATCGCCTCAATTCATCAGCGTGGATGAGATCGGTATATTCCTCGATCGAGAACAAGGAATATGCCCTGACCCCTTCACTATCGTCATCATTAACATCAAGTAAGCTTCCCTCCAACGTCCTTAATAACGATACCTTCAGTTCCACACTTGAATGACTGCAGTTTTTAGCAGTGGTGACTGGCGTCTAGTTGGGTGTACTGCCGATTTGAGTACAGGCTTTCCACGAGACGATTATGACCAGATGCCAATCGACAGCACAGCTCAACACAGTGCCACTGGACAGGTAATCTCACAGTCTTTCCTGAAACTTCGGCAACCGAAGACGTCGAATGAAGCGGATACATCACGACCAGTGTAATTATTTGGGCGGGGCTGCCATGCGCGGATGCAATTCCCGTTCGTGGATTGCGATCGTAGCTTGGAACCCAACAATGGGGACTCTCCCACGTACAACAGATCCGAGTTTACTTTTATTGATATAAATAACATTTTCGCTTTCGGTGAGCGATGTGTCAGTTCATGCACATCCATCTTCCTTTGCTACACAGTGAGCTCACATCTATGGTCCACAAAATCTGACAAAATCGGAAAGCCTAATTCGAATTGAAAGGGTCCGAATGAGGAAAACATTCTAGGGTGCAATCGAATTCTTGATATTGAATTATGGACAGCTGCCAAATGAACGATTGCTTCCGTTGGGAAGGGGTGCCAAATGAGGAGTCTCTGATGCCTATGTACCCAGAAAACTCAGAAAAAAATGAAGAGCCATTTTCAGCGACTTCCTCCCTATCATAAACAAACTTTTCTGCCATGAGAATATTTTAAGTGCTGCTCTTTGGCCCTGAAAACAATGTGTAATCTCCAAGCAAGAGGGAGCTGCGCATTTCAATGATAAACTTCTATACCTCAGTGATCAAGCTTTTTCAGATAGCCCTACTAACCACTTATGGACGTCCCAGTGATAGTTATCACGCGCAGTTCGCCCGTTTTCTGCACATGTGTAATCGTCAAATATGGCGGGCCTTTTACTTTACGGCTGAACACTTCCCCTGGTCAGTTTCGAAAAATTTTTTGTATGGGGGACCATAATCTGGCAGCTCCACGTCACCATAGATGCTGATTGAGTAATGATTTGGGTTGGAGTTGGGGAAGGCCACTCCTGTGTGCTCTGGGTCCCCAACGCTAACTGCAAAAACACAGCAACGGATGGGAAGCTATCTGAACCTTTCGGATGACTGAAAGAAGGAACGGTTCCGAGGCAGAAAAATATAATCTGATATTTTTAATAAGAGGGATTCCAGCTCAAGCCATAGGGAATGAGCAGCTTTGGGAGAAGGGGGCTTTGGGAAAGGGGAAGGGGCTGAAGTGAGGGGATCATATATCGAAGTACAACAGTGAATAGCCCCTCCAACTCCATCTTACCGTCAATAGGAATCAATCCTACTGTTCTATTGCCGACTATTCTATTTTTTTTAGGATTTCACCTATGTTTTTACATATCGCCCTGGGAATAACAACACTGAGAAGCAGACTACTGTATAACCCAGCAGCTAAGTAAGTAAATCAGTAACTAGTCAACGAAAAAAAACTGTGAGGCAAGCGTTCACTGGTTGACAGGACAATCACTACCGCTGTTCTTAGCTTCAGCTGAGTTCCAAGCATCTTTCAAGCAACGCGCCAAATTGAAAAGGGCAAAGGCCTACTGATTGGTGATTCCGCGTCCCTTCCAAGAAGATTCTCGGGATTTCCCGACACACGCAAGTGCAGAGGAGACTCGGTTACTGAGCGGATCCCTCGGGACGTCAAACAAACACCATGATGCACGCCGGCGCGATGGTCAAACTTTTTCACGAAAGCTCTGAACGAAAGGAGTGCTATGTCTAGTGTCCTATCCAATGGTCCACTCTAGCTCGCGACAGGGACGATTGAGTCCTAACTGTCACCTGCTCGAGGAAATCGATGAACAACGGGACGACAGGTGATACAGGTGATAGGTGCGAAGGTATTCCGGAGAACCTCACACCTGTCCCTCAACTTAGGGTATGTTGTAGGGACGCAGTAACGAGTTCGCGGTCAGAAAGCTTCAGACCGAACTGCCTGCTTCTATAGGTCGTCTTAAGAGGGAACTAGACCATGGTTTTTGTGGAAGCGCACGAGCGGTCTTACTTTGGAGAACACCCAGAGGGCGCCATGGTCCATAAGTTGTCCATGAACTGTGCCACATACATACTGTATGTAGGCTATACTGTACTATGAAGTTTCAATATGAACATCTCAATGGGACGGGCTTTTTTACAATAATTCACTTTAAGAATAGGCGTATTGGACACAACGAATTGGCGATGGGTCGAAGTATATTCGGTCGATGATTACTATTTTACGAATATCATTATGTTCGACACTGGTCAAATGCTTATACATCAAACGGTAAGCCAGTAATGATAGTAAAGGTTCACTAACAACATCTCCGATTACTTCATCAACTTACCTACCTCTCCCTCCAATTGTCCTCACACCGCTACAATGTTGATGGCATTGTAGTTCCAGGATAAAACTTGGAATACGGAGCAGTACGGTGTCCTACGGAATCCATTCGTTGTGTTCACACTACAGTCATCAGCTGAACTGACATCGCGGCCGTGCACCTACGATGATGAACGTGAAACTATTGTAAGGCGATTGCGCTGTACTGAAGAATGACCTTTGAATAAAAATGGTGTTTATGGGAAAAGAAAAAGCTGCAAACTGTATCCTCATCATTATTGTATATAGAATCACTTGAAAAATGCGTAGATATCAAACAGCGGAGTCGAGAAACTGGAAGAGCTAAGTGTGATAAAGGGTGCATTGACAGAAACGAAAACACAGTGTGGGCACTTTGCTCCTACGGGGGACGGTACATTCGTGCGATTCAGACTGCGCGCGGCACATTGGGCGATGAAATTCGCGGTGATTTAAACGACTTCGGCGCCCTTCATTGTGGCACAAACTTGAAGCAGAATATTTGAGTAGGGTCAGCTGATCATACTAATCTACTTTACTTCAAACTTGTGCCTCAATAATAGCGCCACAGTCGTTCGAATCGCAACGAATTTCGCTGCGCAATTTGCCACGCACATTCCGAATCGCTCGAATATGGGGGACGGTATGAACGTGCGTCCGAGGATGCGCGCGGCAA